GTGCTGTCTCCTCTGCCGTGTGGACTCCTGGACCTAGTGAAAGTTGGACGTGTCTACAGGGTGGCAGGTGTGACGCAGATACCACGTGACTGTCCCCCGCGAGCGCGGTCACCACCTCGCAACCCCCCGGCCGACGGGGCAGACGGCGTCGGTGCAACAGAAAAATTGCACCAAGAAACAGCTTTTTCCACCGTGTTAATTATGCGTAGGCTTGCCAGATACTGTACAGCATGCTGTATACGTGTATTCTATGCAAAAATAGTTTGTTGTCTGAAATTAAATTTTAACTGGGTATCTTGTGTTTTTTCATTTGCTAAATATGACAAACCCGATGTTGTAGTTCAAATGCCGAATTTGAAAACTTCAGGGCAGTGCTGCTCCAGCCCATATGGGAGCCTAAGGGGAAAGGAAAAATGTATGCCTCTTACACACATGGTTTTGTATATGTTTTTAATGGTTAATTTTCCCTCCCCAGAACATTGAATTCGTTGGCAATATTAAACGTTGGTATATTAAAAGGCACATTAAGTTTAAATATTTATACCAACAGCTTTAATGGACACAAACTCATGAATAACATTGCCAAAATCTAACTCCTCTTGACTAAGTGATGATCTTAATTTTTTATTAACTTCAGTTTTCTGATATTTATTTTTGCAGGATGCCACTGTGACTGGTATTGTTTTTAAAAAATTCTCAAGACCACTTCCAAATGTGGGTGAGATTGAACTAAGAAAAATTCATGAATCAGTTTTAGAGAATCTGAATTATTGATGCTGCATGTTGTTTAAAACTACTTCAGATGAAATTTCCACAAAATTTAAGTGATTGACTAAGTCAATGGCTGCTTTTTTGTACATCAGATGTATTCACAGAATACATATTTTTTAGCCGGGCATAGTGGCTCACACCTGTAATCTTTGCACTCTGGAAGGCCGAGGAGGGAGGACCGCTTGAGGTCAGGAGTTGGAGACCAGCATGAGCAAGAGTAAGACCCTGTCTCCACTAAAAATAGAAAAAATTAACTGGGCATGGTGGTGCTTGCCTGTAGTCCCAGCTACTTGGGAGGCTGAGGCAGGAGGATTGCTTGAGCCCAGGAATTTGAGACTACTGTGAGCTAGGCTGATGCCATGGTGTGACAGAGTGAGACTCTGTCTCAAAAAAAAAGAGAATACATATATTTTTTTTCTCCAAGTAAAAACTCAAAGTCTGAAGACACTCCATTTGATTTTCATATTTCCATCTCTAGGACACCTACAATCTCTTTAATTATTATTTGATAAAGACTTTTCCCACAATAATTGATACACCCATTCAGTGATTTGTACATTTCTGATTTTCAAGTATATTCATAGCTCTTGCTAAAGTTTTACATTAATCAAATGTACTTAGAGTTACTTTCTCTCATTTGTTATAAGCAAAGAAGCCTTTTATTGCGCGTGCAGCTTTGTATATAGTCATTTTGTACTCTAAATCTAACTTTTTCTACTTAGTTCAAAATATCATCCCACACAGATAAACTGCATAAAAATATGATTAATAATCTATTTGCACCAAGTTGGTTTATATTTCAGGATATTGTATTTTGCCATTTGAATTTTTTTCTTATCTTGCAACCCAGCTTAATTAAGTCAGCTTAGGCCCTGACTGAATTAAGATAATCAATCCCCACTCTGCCCAGTAGAGGAAAGGGTGAGCCCTTTGTGTAGAAGGTTATCATCATCCAGAGCCTCTACAATATGTCATACATATTGTTCAGCATTCAATAAAAAATTACCAGGCATGCCAGCAGAGTGGACCAAATGACCAGAAATCAAGGAGGGTGGGGGTAAAAGAGAATAGAAAGAGAGCTATAGAAAATCTAAATCATCGGCCAGGTGCTGTGGCTCACACCTGTAATCCTAGCACTCTGGGAGGCCAAGGCGGGCGGATTGCTTGAGGTCAGGAGTTCGAAACCAGCCTGAGCAAGAGCAACACCCCATCTCTACTATAAATAGAAAGAAATTAATTGGCCAACTAATATATATAGACAAAATTAGCCGGGCATGGTGGCGCATGCCTGTAGTCCCAGCTACTTGGGAGGCTGAGGCAGAAGGACTGCTTGAGTCTGGGAGATTGAGGTTGCTGTGAGCTAGGCTGATGCCACAGCACTCACGGTAGCCTGGGCAACAAAGCAAGACTCTGTCTCAAAAAAAAAAAATCTAAATCATGGAACCATCAGACAAGTACTCTCAAGTAACTGATTTATTACTTCAAGAAAATAGAGAAAACAAAAAAATTCCCCAGACAATTAAATTCCATTAAAAAGAGATGAATGGATATTCTAGAACTGAAAATATAACAAATGAAGAGTTCAATAGATGGGTTTAGCAGTGGAAGAGATAAATGAATTGTAAGACAGATCAACAGAAAATATTTGGACTGAATCATAAGGAAAAAAAGCATGAGAGACACAAAAGAGAGAGTAGAAGATATATGTAACAGTGAAAAGTTCTAACATCCAGATTATTGGAAAACAGCTATGTATTTATACCAAAATATAGCACATATATAAAAAATATGAAAGACAGGTTAAGAGACAAGGACAGCATGCTATGATTTAACTTACATTTAGTCAGAGTTCCAAAAGTAACACAGACAATACTGGAAAAGAAAATGGTTTTAAAATTTTCTAAAACTGATTAAAGATACCATTGTACAGATTCAAGAAGTCCCAAAAAATCTCAAACAAGAAAAAGAAAACCACAAATAATCCACCTAGGGTGCCAGTCATATTTCTGTTGTTTCTCGGTTCCTTTTAGTCTACTCCGTCACGCTGGAGCTGCAACTCGGCAAACTACATTTCCCAGATTCCCGTCCAGGGGCTTCCTGTGAGGTTCTGCCAACCAAAGCCACTAGAGGGAGACCAGATGACAGGAGATTGCAGCTGCCCTAGACCTGCAAGTTTTTTTTAATATGAGACAGTGTTGTATATTAAGCCCCTGAGATTTATGCCTGTAGCAAAGCTTATATTATCCTAATAAAATATGCAAAAATATTAAAACTAGACCCTTACAATTCATACCTTATACAAACATAAAACTAAAAGACAAAGACTAGTTTTCAGAAGAGAACACAGGAAACGTCTTTATGATCTTAAAGTTCAGAAGGATTTCTTAAATAAGACGTAAAAAGCATAAATAAAAAAGAAAAAGCTTGATGAATTTTACATGCAAATTAAGAACATGTTTATCAAAACTAAAAGAATGAAAAGAAAAACCACAAAACAGCATACATTTGCAAAACATATAACCAATAAAGAGCTTGTGTCCATAATATACTAAAAATTCCTATAAATCAGTGAGAAAAAGACTTGAAGGAAAAAAAACTAATAATTAATGAACATATAAAAAGGTGTTCAACATCATCAATAATGCTAAAACAGATAATATACATGTACTCAGGTAGAGCTGCTATAACAAAACACCATATACTGAGTTAAACAAAAACATTTATTCTCACAGTTCTGGAGACTGGAAAGTCCAAAAATCAAGGTGCTGGCAGATCCATGCCTGGTGAGGGCCCACTTCTGGTCCACAGACAGGTATCTTCTTGCTGTGTCTTCACATGGTAGGAAGAGGGCTAGAGAGCTTTCTGGGGTCTCTTTTATAAGGACAGTAATCTCACTTATGAGGGCTACATCCTCATGACCTAATTACCTATAAAAGCCCCCACATCCTAATACCATCCTATTGGGCATAAGGATTTCAACATATGAATTAGGGGGTTGGGGAAACACAAATATTTTGCTAAAATGCAAAAGTATAATACTAGATATTGGAGGTTAGGGTAACAAGAACCTTCATTTGATACTGGTAAGAACATGTACAACCACTCCGAAATACATTAAATGACAAAGTCGAAGACTCACCTACCAAGATTCCACATTTCTACTCCTGGATATACATCCCACAGAAATGTGTCTGTGTGTACCAGGACTCGTGTATAAAAATGTTTATCACAGCATTATTCATAACATACAAACACTGAAACCAATTCCAATATCTATCAGCGGTGTATTGGCAGAATTATTGTATAGCCCTACTGTATACAACAAAACTGAATGAACCATAAAAATTAAACTACAGCTATACAGCAACAACATGGATAAATCTTAAAAATAAGATTGTTGAACAAAAGAAGTCACACACCCAAAAACACGTACTCTGATTCCATTAGTAAAAAGTCCAAAGAGAACAACAACTTATTTAGGGATTTAATCACAGGTGGTAAAACTACAAAGACGGGCAAAGAACGCCTGCCATAAATCACTAGATGATGGTTACCTCCAAAGTGCTGGGGGCCGGGATGGAGATGTGATACCACAGGGGCTCACAAGGGGCTCCCGAGGTATTCATTTGAAAACATTCTCTTCTCTTACTGGGCGGTGATGACACAGATGTTCCCGCTCACCCCCATATCCTCTAAAGCAGGTGTCCTCAAACTATGGCCCAAGGGCCACACACGGGCCACCTAGCACATTTATCCAGCCCTCCGGGTGTTTTTGCTGCCACTGTCTGTCCTGCTTAGCAACCAGCTTGTCCCGGGCCCACCGTGCGCACTATCCAACGGTCTGAGGGACAGTGAACTGGCCCCCTATTTAAAAAGTTTGAGGACTCCTGCTCTAAAGTATGCATCTACATGTCACGAACAATTCTGTAAGTGTATCTCAAAATACACTTCAAATTATAAATAGCAATACAAAGTATAGCAGCATCACAATTACACATGCTCTCTCTGCTCCCTGGGAGGCCAGGAGAGACTGTCTTCCCCACTTTCCAGAAAAGTGTACTGAAGCTTGGAAGAGACACAAGTGTTGAAACCAGGTCTGGAATCCAAGGCTAGGGTTTTGCCACTAAAGCATTCACTATCCAGACTCTTGCCTACACAGAGGCAATGCACAGGAAATGGTGAATTTGCTAAAAACTCCCAGTGTTAAAAAAATACTCCATATAAGGCTCTTTAAGGCTTCTGGCAGGGACATTTTATTTTTTGGTTAAAGCCACAATCAATAGAAATGCCATAAAAACAAACATGTAAACAAGGCATCAGCACTTTGGTTCACTGGAACATCTCACGCCTATACAACTGAGGTACAAAGGCACCTGGCCAGGTGCTGAACAGCCTCACTCTGCTGTGGCCGCTCGGACTCTGGCCTCCAGGCCAGGGATGGCACAGGCTGAGCAGAGAGGCTGGGACCCTGGTCATACATGACCTGTCCCAACACGGTCCCCTCTGCTCCAAACACTGACTCCTCCAGAGACACGCCTGAGAACTGGAACATACAAAGGTGTCTGTCACGCTGAACTTGAAGACGACATGGGCTGTGAGGCAAGGAAGGGGAAGGACAGAAAGTGACGTCAGTCAACTTCCGTGGATCCACACGGCCTCAAGAACTCCTGTCCTCGTTCATGGAACCACTTATTGGAGACTGTGAACAGAAAGCAAGTATATGTTACCATTTCATTGGTCAGTCCGGCAGCCAAAACTAATGACTCTTTCCTGTGACCCTCCACTGTCCCCTGGGAATCAGACAAGGGTAGGACACGGTCTCAGGCCTCAAGCTGCTCACAAACCCGGTGAGAAAGATGCACATGTGAACAGATTATTGAACAAAATTCTGCCAGTGACACAAGGTACACATGTGCAGGTTGCCATGGGAATGGAGCATCTGACGATGTGAGGGAAGAGGAAATCCCAGGGCTAGAATATAAGTTATCCTGGGAAGGAGACGGACACACCAGGTGGTCCCTCACCAACAAGGTCCCAGAAAGTGGGGACAGGATGGGAAGTCAAGACAGGAAGGACCTAGTGTGTGTCAAGGGTCTCAAGCAGCCTAGAGTTGCTGGGAGGCAGCAGTTGGGACCGAGAGGCAGTGTGAGGACGCAGTCAGCACTATGCAGGGCTGGACGTCACCCTCAGGTGCTACTAGCACAAGAGCAGCAGGGCTGGTGCCAGCACTGTCTGTCACACAAAGCCATGTCCTCAATACCCAGGAACCATGATGCCACTCATCAGACACTCTGTCCCATAATGAATAAAAAATGTATTTCAATGCACTATTGGAGCCATGGAGCTTTTAAAAATATAATTTAACTTACAGTAACATACACGCTTCACTGAAAAACTCAGATTGTATACAAGGCTGATAATGATAAACAGCCATCTCCTAAGTCTTCCCACTGCCAGGCCCTACTCCCAGAGAACATTCAGCTCCTCTAGCTGTTTCTTCTGACAGTTGAGCTCACTTGTCTAGATAACATGCTCACAGTTCTATTTCTCGACTTCCAACTTTGGAATTCTTTTATTCCACTCCGAAAATACATACTTACCCCCTCCCATCTTCCCAATATAGTTAAGTCACAAGGTTGAGTTGAATTAACATTCAGTGTTTATATTATTATGCCACAAAAGTGTTACCCCCGAGCCATCTAGTAGATGATATTTACATTTTCTTTCTTGTATATCGTTTTTTCTTTGAAGTCAGCAACTGCCTCATTTTCTTTTTCATTTGCTTAATTTTCTGTGAACCTAGAGCTATGTATCCCCAACACTCTCTTAGAGGGTGACACACGTGTCTCTTGGCGGTCACCTCCTGGTTCAGGACTCTCCGTGGTTGCTGCTCCCAGCAGCTCCCACAGCTGCTCCCAGGATGAGGCTCACGCTTCAGCCTCCGTGGTTTGGTCCCAGCCTCACCTTCTTGTCCCTTGTGCCACTGGCCTCCCCGTCTTCAAGCGACAAGGGCAGCTGGCCATCACACCCAGGATGCTGGCGTTAGCCTGTGCCTCGCTCTACATAGGCCTCGACTGCCTGGGACACTCCTTCCCTCTCTGCTTCCAGCTCTCCCCCCACCCCCCGGGACCCTCACCAGAGCCCACTGCCCTGAGACCCTTCTGGGACCTGCGGTGCGTACGCAGCTGCTCTTCCCCAGGGCTTCATCTCTGAGTGTTCCCAACCTGCTGTCTCGTCACATAACCAGCTGAAAGGACAGCTGCTCTTCCCTGAGGAAGAGCAGCTGTGTACGCACCACAGGTCCAGGAAGGCTCTCAGGACAGTGGGGTCTGGCGAGGGCCCTGGGGGCCAGGGGGACAGCTGGAAGCAGAGAGGGAAAGTGTGGCACAGGCAGTCGAGGCCCACGTAGAATGATGCACAGGCTAACGCCAGCATCATGGTATGAGGGAAAAAAGTAGGAGGGAAAAAAACCTCAGAAGGGAGACGGTCTTGGCTTTGTGCAAATTTGGCAGCCGTCAACTCCCAGCTCAGAGTCTAAAGCCACCACCAAAGCCCGGGCTGAGGCCACCCCGGCCAGCACCACCCCTCCAGCCACTCACCCCACTTGCAGCCCACGAGCACCGGGCAGGCGGCATGCCTTGTCCGGTAGTCGCCTTCCCCGCTGCGCAGGAGGTTGTACCAGAACACGGCTGTCCCCTGGGAGAAAGACGGGCTGTCAGAACACACTCTTGGAGACCAGTGCTGGGACCCGACCCCAAGCCCTACAGAGCTCCCACCCTGAGCAGAAACACCCTCACTTCCCCAGGTACAGGGGACACGGCTCTGGGCTCCAGCAAGAGAGGGTCCCCAGAAAGCACCTGCCTTTCACAGTGGGATGGATGGACGTCGGGCCACCCACCTGCCCACGAAGGGCTTCCCCTCCCATCCCGTCTCCCCAGGTAGAAGCTGGAACTACAGAGTCAGAGCCCGGGTAGGGAGGGGCTAAGCCACATGATAGCGGTTATCATGCAGGTCGGGGACAGGACTGGGGACGTGGATAAGACTGAGGCCTGCTTCAATCTCTGACCCACGCGCATCAGAACTTACCTTCTTGGGCCAAATCGCAGCCCCCAGATCAGGGAAGACGGTGGCTCCACCGGCTTCGACATCGCTCATCTGGAACACAAGACACAGAGCTTGGCCCTTCTGCCCATGGCCCTCAGAGCAGCTGTGCCATAAAGGACACGACGAGGTGACAGGTCACCCTCCTGTGCACACAGGTGACGCTGCCTAGAGGCTCCACTCCACGTTTGGCCCCGAGTAGAGAAAGGCTCTTCCTGGCCGGGCGTGGTGGCTCACACCTGTAATCTTAGCACTCAGGAAGGCCAAGGTGGGATGATCGCTTGAGCTCAGGAGTTCGAGACCAGCCTGAGCAAGAGCAAGACCCTGTCTCTACTAAAAAATAGAAATAAATTAGCTGGACAACTTAAAACATGTAGAAAAAATTATCCAGGCATGGTAGCTCATGCCTGTAGTTCCAGCTACTCGGGAGGCTGAGGCAGGAGGATTGCTTGAGCCCAGGAGTGGGAGGTTGCTATGAGCTAGGCTGACGCCACAGCACTCTAGCCCAGGAAACAGAGTGAGACTCTGTCTCAAAAAAAAAAAAAAAAAAAAGGCTCTTCCCACGCCTGCCTGGTTCACTAGGACACTTTCCACAATGTGGGTATTCAAGAGCTGATGCCTGCAGGAGACCCAGATCCGGGCTGTCCTTGGACAGGAACAATCTGAATCTGTACCCAGAAAACGCCTGTGACCCCTTGAGTGCCCACCCAGCCCGGGCCTTTCTAAACAACTGCGTCCAGGGAACGGCCCTGACCTGGAGCTCCTGGCTGCTCCCAGCACAGCCTGGCCCTGGTTAGGGCTGTTCCTCTGGCAGGTGGTTCATCTACTCAGACTCTCCCCTTCCCAGGACAGCCGCCCTCCCAGGGCCACCTGCGTGGGCAGGTGGGGCGCCAGGGTTCTGCTTTCTCCCACGGCAATGCCTTAAATGAAAGTGAACACAGGTTCACAGTGGCAAGGCTACAGCCACACCACAGTGCAGGCCATGATCTGTGCCCAGAGCACACTCCTCTCCCATCCAGCTCTCTCAAGTTTTTTGTTCATAATGTAATAAAAATTAGACCTAAAAACAACTTCCACAGGACACACACCAGACTGACTGAAGGGTACTCGACAGACATATGGTGAATACATTTTTTTTTTTTTTTTGAGACAGGGTCTCGCTTTGTTGCCTAGGCTAGAGTGAGTGCCGTGGCATCAGCCTAGCTCACAGCAACCTCAAACTCCTGGGCTCAAGCAATCCTACTGCCTCAGCCTCCCAAGTGGCTGGGACTACAGGCATGCCCCACCATGCACAGCTAATTTTTTCTATAAATATTAGTTGGCCAATTAATTTCTTTCTATTTATAGTAGAGACGGGGTCTCACTCTTGCTCAGCCTGTTTCCTAACTCCTGACCTCAAGCAATCCGCCCGCCTCGGCCTCCCAGAGTGTCAGGATTACAGGCGTGAGCTACCACACCCGGCCTAGTGAATAAATTTAAAACAAAACAAAAAAAAAAACCTCTGATGGCTTCCCACGGCCCTGGGGAGCAAACCCAGACTCTTGTCTTGAACCCCAAGTTCCCTGACAGTCCCACCAGCCTCGACCTCCAGACACACCAGCCTTCTTCTATGTCTCCAACATCATGCCAAACTCCTTGTCTCTCAGAGACCCACACATGCTCTCTCCTCTGCCAGAAACTACCGTGTTTCCCCAAAAATAAGACCTACCCATAAAATAAGCCCTACCAGGATTTCTAAGCATTTGCGCAATAGGAGCCCTACTCTGAAAATAAGACCTAGTGATGGGCGTGGCCACGCATCGTATCTGCACAACCCATGCATTTCATCAAAGAGCGGTAAAGAAGGCGAGCAGCCCTTCTCATCTGCCCCATCATGACAGCTACTATCCCAGAGGTGACCGGAAAGGTGCGGGCAGCCCCACCAAGGTCGGCTCCCCCTGTCAGGTCCTGGCCATCCCGTGTGTGCTGCAAGCTGAGGCTTTCAGGGGAAAATAACGCATCCCCTGAAAATAAGCCCTAGGGTGTCTTCTTGAGGAAAAATAAATATAAGACCTTGTCTTATTTTTGGGGAAACACGGTACGTCTCACTAGCTATTTTCTGTTCAACCTTCAAGTCTCCACTGAAATGCTGCTTTCCTAGGGTGGCCTTCTCTGAACTGCTACTTCTTCTAACACCTGTCTCCATGACAACTAAATAATCCTCTGTCCCACGTTCAAAGTCAGTCTCCCGTGTTAGACTCCAAGCATAACAAGAAAGAGAGAGCACGTGTCCTGCTCACCAGTCTGTCCCCAGCACAGTGCCCGGAGCACAACAACCACACAACGGAAACTTAAACAGAAAGAACAGATGTGGCGCCATCCCTCAGTGACTTGACAGCCTCTTTGGAGCTGCTCTCTCGGCAGAGGGAGAGGCAGCAGCTCCTCACGTGAGAGGCAAACCCAACGGCCTGCAGGCGGAGCGGAGGCAGCCGGCAGGACGCACCCACCAAGCCTCGAGGCAAACGCAGGCAGCTCTCATGGAAGAGACAGCCAAGACCAGTTCCTGGATCTGCTGCCAGGGAGCCCCCCAGGCGCCCATCCCAAAGTCCGGGCTCATCTGACAGGAGCCAGAAAACGCTGCAGCATGGATGAACCTGGGCACAGAGGTGCCAGCCACGGAAAGGCAAGTGCTCTGCGATCCTACTTTTATGAGTGTATGTGACGTGAGGACTCAAAAGCATAGAGATGGAAAGTGGGATGGTGGTTGCCAAGGGCCGGGGAGGGGAATCTGGGATTATTGTTCAATGAGGACAGAGTTTCAGTTTTACAAGATGCCAAGTGATGGGAGTGGGTGTCAGTGAAGCTTGTGCATTATGAATGTATTTAATGCCACTAAACTGCACACTTAAAAACGGTTAAGCTGGTGAATTTTATGTTATGTGTATTTTACCACAATTTTAAAAACTGGCCAAAAAAAAAAAAAAATAGCAGAGCCAGGGGAAGTCCTGGTGGGGCGTGGGGACCACACCAAAGGAAACAGAGGCCAACTCGCTCTTCTCCAGACAGAAGGTGCCAGGCCCAGAAGAACCTGAGAACCGGCCCTGGCCCGGCAGCGGGTGGCCATCAGCCCTGACGGGGTGGGATATGAGACCCCTGGACCCGGGTCCCCTGGGGCCCATGAGCACACGTCATACTCACGTAGTTCAAGAACGTGGCCACACGGTTCCCCGTCCCTAAACGCTTGAAAGCATCTCGCTCATGGTTCTATAAAATTAAGTGAGAGTGAACAGGCGGCCGGACCGGTACTTACGTAGTTAAGAAACGTCGCTAACCTATTCCCCTCCGTTTTGAGGCCGCTGTCAAAAGGTCGCTGCAACAGACAACAACTCTCACCCAAGTCTGCCCCCAACTTCACCCGCCACCCCCGGACGAGGGCCAAAGGGTCGGGGGAAGGTGGTAAGTGTGCGTCCCGTGAACCAGCCTGGAGCGTGCGCCCAGGATGCCAGGGGGACTGGGGGTGGCAGGGAAGAGGAAGGGGAGCAGGAACAATTTTCAGACCTGGGGAGGCTCTTTGCTTGAGAATCAGGGCAAAGAAGGACAGGGTCAGGGCAGCAGGAACAAGCCGCATCGGCAGGGGGAAGAGTCAAGCTCCACTGGGCTTCGCAGGCCCTGTGGTTCCAGGCTTGGGAAGTAAGAGTCCCCCTGGCCAGGCGGAGGTCAGCGTGGGACTGGGGAATGGGGGTGGGGAGGGGGGAGGGGAACTGCTGATATGGAGGCTGAAGTGCTTCTAGAAGCTCTAGCCTTCTTCTCAGGGCCCTCTGAAAGTACCCACGATTCATGCCTTACCCTGGAGAAGTCAAAGTGTGGCTCGTACTGTCCTCCCATTCCGTAATTGGCAACCTGGTGGGAAACAGCAGCGTGACTGGCCCTGCAGAAGCCCATCTCCCCAGGGCAACCACCTCCCAGGCCTGAGAACAGCCAGAACCCCCGGGCAGCCTCTCTAAGCTGGAGGAGGACCACGCCCCCCCAGCACGGGCAGAGCAGACGTCACAAACGTGTCTGCAGCTGTGAGCGCGCGCCAGGCTGCAGCACAAATGAAGCTTTCCTAAGAGAAGAGGACGGGCGAACTGCAGGCGGTCACTGCAGGAGGCTCTGGCCTGTCACCCACACTCACTCAGATGGCAGCAGAGGGACCCAGCCCTCCCTGAGGCAGGCCCCGGCCTGGGCCCTGTTTGGGAGACAGTAGTGATAAGGTAATCCAGAGGAGACTCTGTAACACACTCAAGACTGGGGGACGGTTTTAACACTAGTTTGGAGCTACAGATGCCTGGCAGTGCTCCGCCTGATGGAGAACTTCTGCGTCCACGTGAGGCCACAGGACGTGGGTGGCCGAGAACTGCTGCATCCTCAGCATCCCAGCGCGGGCCCGGACCTGCGGTGAGACCTCAGGCCCCTGCGGCTATGGCAACTGCCAGGTATCATTCGTTAGATCAGAAACTATAAATTCCTTTGTGAGAAGACTATCTGCACAACGTCAAGTCCAAAATCATGATGATCACTTTTAGCTGTGGTGGATGGAATGAGACACGCAGTTCAGGATGAAGTGCAGAATCTGATGTGGAAGTTGGATAGGTCACGTGTCACCACCAACATCCAACTGGGAACGGTGGGCTGTTGTTTCTTTTTTTCTAAGACAGAGTCTCACTTTGTTGCCCAGGCTAGAGTGAGTGCCGTGGCGTCAGCCTAGCTCACAGCAACCTCAAACTCCTGGGCTCAAGCAATCCTCCTGCCTCAGCCTCCCGAGTAGATGGGACTACAGGCATGTGCCACCATGCTCGGCTAATTTTTTTTCTGTATATTTTTAGTTGGCCAATTAATTTTTTTTTTTTTTTTGAGACAGAGTCTCACTCTTGTTGCCCAGGATAGATTGAGTGCCGTGGTGTCAGCCCAGCTCACAGCAACCTCAAACTCCTGGGCTCAAGCGATCCTCCTGCCTCAGCCTCCTGAGTAGCTGGGACTACAGGCATGTGCCACTATGCTCTAATTTTTTTTCTGTATATTTTTAGTTGGCCAATTAATTTTTTTTTTTTTTTTGAGACAGAGTCTCACTTTGTTGCCCAGGCTAGAGTGGGTGTCGTGGCGATTTTCTTTCTATTTTTAGTAGAGACAGGGTCTTGATCTTGCTCAGGCTGGTTTCAAACTCCTGACCCTTAGCAATCTTCCCGCCTCAGCCTCCCAGAGTGTTAGGATTATAGGCCTGAGCCATCGCGCCCAACCGCAGATGTCTTTTTATGAAAAACAAAACAAAACAACAAAAACCCTGCTCCAAGAAGACAGATAATGCCAAGATAATGCCAACAGGGATGTATCCGGAGCAGGGGGTTCTGCCGCCCTGCGATGCTGGTGCTCCCCTGCGCTCGGCCAGCGGGATGCGGCGGAGTCCTCCGGATATGCTCACTCTGCAGAACTTACTTGAAATTACAGAACACAGAGCTGAACTGAAAAAAACCATATACAATTTTCACAATACTGTTCGCAAAGGCGTCAGCATGTTTTTGAAAACTCTGGTGACTTCACCAAATGTTCCATAAGACAAAGCTCACGAAAATTTGTTGTTCGTGGTTGCTTTTTTTGCGTTTTTTTTTTTTGCTACAACATGCATCTGCAAACAAAATTGGTTTTCCAGTTGCTGAGCGCAGCCTATGTGAGAAAAAGTGAGTGCTCATGTTGCGTTGGTGCTGCGTGTGAGCAAAAGTTCAATTTTTTCCACTGATCTTGCAGTCGTATTCCTAGATGAGACTTGTGCTGGCAGATCGCAGATGCCAAGGCGCTAGGAGAGGTTGCTGTCTTTAAATGTGCAGAAACTACGATCAGATAGAGATCTTCGACTTCTAAGAGATGCCAGTGCAGGCAGGCCGGGCGTGTGTCATGCCCTGGTGAATTCTGGCCTGTGTGGAGGTAGAGGGTTTGAACCAGCCTGAGCACAGCATGAACATCTCTACTATAAATAGAGAAAATTAATTTGGCCGAACGTAATATGAGTGAGAAAAATTAGCCAGGCTGTGGCGCATTGCCTGTAGTCGCCGGGTACGTCGGAGCTGAGGCGCGAGATCGCTTGCCCCAGGGTTTGTGAGTGCTGTGCAGTGCTGCGCCACGGCAGTCACTCTTAGGTGCGGCACAAGTCCCGCTCGTGCTCAAAAAGAAAAAGCATTAAAGTAGAGCTGAAATAGAGATGCGCCAATTTCGCTGATAGGGTGTCGCTCGGTCCATTGTCTCACAACAGAACCCAGAAATTCCTAAGATCAGCAGGGAGCTCAGCCAGTGCTGACTTGAACTCAACACCCGAGAGGATACATCATTCAGGAGCTTTACCCAAAATCTCTCAGCATGGTGCCACCATGTTTCTTCATAATCACCTTGGAAGCCAGGATCCCAACAGAAGTGCTTTGACAAGGACATCCCACCTCCGCCTGCTAACTGGCCAAGCCTCTCACTCCTACCAACATACTAATATGACCGCGTTGGGTGTCCTGGTTCCTTCCGCTTCTGTGTCCTGACTCAAAATCACAGAGCTGCAGGTATTTTCTGGCAGGTTTAAACCCAAACCAGAACCTTGAACATTACCAGGCACTGATAAAGGCATCTAGGTCGTTGCCCAAAACACTGAAAGAAACAAGCCCTGCCCTGAGCCTAATTCCATAAACCCTCACGTTAACTCCACACCCAACCCTTCACTGCAGACATACACAGGGAGAACACCCTTTTCTCCCACTGTCCTGGTGAGAATCGCTGCAGCCACCCACTCTGTAAGCTCCCCTAATAAACGCTTTGGTCTGTCCCTGGAGTTTAGTGCATCTTTCTTGGGAATCCCAAGGGGCCCCATCGCGGGGTAGTTTGGGGCAGTCCCTTGCGGGAACTCCCCTGCCGCCACTTTGGGTGCAGCCCCAGCCATGGCTTCAGCAGGACACAACATACAGAACACCTCACCCCCAACCACATTTGTCTCTGACACGGAACCACGACACCAGAATACACTTTCAGCTCTCTGAGAGTGTCCCTAGGACAATTCAGGACTTGAGTTTCTGCAGCCAAGAGGACACAGATGAGCCTGCCACACCCACAACTGGTCCCAGCTCCCACCACACCTGGGCACACACTGGATGCTCAGTTGGCATCTGCTGCACGTTAACTGTTCGATGCCAGGGGACAAGATTAGTTCCGGTGTCCTGACATGCGATCACTCCATATCCACAGCACCAGATTTGGCACCATATCCACACAATTGATTCGGCGAGCCTGTTTCCAGGCACCCTGAGAGACCATCTAGCCAGAAATACCCCCCTCCCAGCTCCCGTGGTCCCCAGACTAGACGTACCTGCAGCAACTCTGCAGTCTGCACCGTGAGCCCCGTGATGTGCTGCATCCGCCGGTTCACACGGGCCACAACGGGGTCGTCGTCCTCCTCCAGCCAGGAGCTGGGCCGGAAGAAGAAGAAGAGGAAAGACAATGGGGAGGGCAGGCCTGGAAGACGTGCTGCACGCTCAGCCCAGAGTCAGGCCAGCACCAGCAGGGAGCACGGCATGAGCACTGCACAAGGGTGAGGAGGTGCCGGAAGGCAGGACGAGCCGAGCCAGGCTCTCCGGGGCAGCCCCAGGGAACCTCGGAGTTGGACTGAGCTCTTCCTGCTCCTCCTCCTCTTCCACCACCAGCACCTTTGCGTACCTTTTGGAAACCCTGTAGCTGGCAACGGTGAGGACACCTGTCTTGGGGTCACGAACGGTGGCTCGTGCGAGCTGGAAGACAAGAAAGGAGGACAGACTTACCCTTTTTGCCTTGAGCACTTTTCCAGGGAGCACTGAAGCCAGATCGGTGGCCGTGTTAGCCGGGGTGGAGGCTTTGCAGGCAGTGAGTGCCCAGCAAGGTCCCGGATCCCGCAGACAGGTCAGGGCAGAAGTCTGCGCCCTGCACCTGCCCCATCTGCCGCCAGACCCTGGCTGGCCACTGCCCTGCTCGGTCAGTGCTCACCCTGCCTCCCGTCCAGGTCTGTGCTCCTGCAGAACACGCCTGTGGAGTCTGCCCCGTCTGCCCACGTGCCTGCCTGGCCAGGCCACGCGCCACCCCGCCTGAGAACGGCCTGCGCCCACTTGTTCCCCCCACACTCAGACTGTACCACCATCCTGAGCCTCAACCTCATGTGCTTCTCCCAACTTAGTAAGTGCCACCACCCTGCTGTGCCTCGGTGGCCTCTGCCAAGAAACCCACTCAAACACTCTGCTGTGCCGCCTTGCGCTGGGCTCCCACAGCCGTGAGAAGTCAGGACAGAGGCAGTTTCCCCTCCCCGGGGACCTTCACAAAGTCAGATGATGAATCCGAGAGAGGATTCCCCAAGTTACAATACGTGAGCCACTCCTTGGCAGCCCCCCACCCACTACCCGTGCTCATGCACACCTCCTCACCTGCCTCACCTGCCCAGTGTCCACAGATAGGCTCAGCCACACTTCCAGGGGGACCTGCTGCCCAGAGCCGTCCACGGCAACGGTCCCCGTGCTGTGGCAGTGACTGACCTAAGGGTGCAGCCACAGGCCCAGACACTCCTACCTGACAGCGCTTCTCCCTAATTTCAATACACATCTGATGAGCGCCCGCCAGGCGCCCGGCACCACTGCGTGACTGAGACAGGACCCTGCCCTGTCAACTCTGTCAAGTGGAGAAAGAAAAAACCAGCCGGGTAGTTGCAGCACAGCACAGGTGAGCTTGATGTCCTACGGGAGCTCAGCCTGTAATAGATTCTCGAAAATAGCTTCTCAGAGGAGGAGGCCACCTGGCTGAGACTGAAGGGCAGACATGAGGTGGCTGAAGTGGGGGACATCACAGGACAGGGAAGGAGCAGCAGTGCAGAGGCCATCGGGTGACAATGAGCACGGCCCTGGCTGTGGATTAGAGGCCATGGGAGGGCAGGTGTGGTGGCTCATGCCTGGAATCCCAGCACTCTAGGAGGCCGAGGCGGGAGGATCGCTTGAGCTCAGGAGTTCGAGACCAGCCTGAGCAAGAGCGAGACCCCAATTCTTTTTTAAAAAATAAATAACAGAGGCCACAAAAACAGCAAGAGATGAGAGCGGGCTGGAGACAAGCAGGGCTTGGGACTAGATGCAACCTGGTGGCCAAGGAGAAGTGCTGAAGGTTTCACGCGGGGGGAGGGGGCACACGAACTCTGCGTGTGGGAAGGATCGCTATGAACACTTCATGAGAACTGACTGCAGAGGGGCTGGAACGAGAACCAGGGAGTCAGTGAGGGGCCTCGGCAGGAGTCAGGGTGAGAGATGGCGACAGTCTGGGCCGGGGGCAGCAGAGGGACGGAGGGGCGCAGAGGGGCCAGGAGTCTGATGGGGTGGAACCGGCCGACCAGGACGCCGTGCTGCCGTGTGTGCTGGTGAGACGGCCACACCCCCAGGACAGATGGCGTCCCTCATCCCCCTGCAGATCCCTCCTGAGCCCCAGCTCACGCCGGTCCCTCTCTGCTGACAGTGGCAGCCACGGCTAGACCCCATCTGAAAATCTGAGCCCCCGCACTGACCTGGCACCCACAGACAGGCTCCAGGCAGCTGTGCCCTGCCCTGGGGACAGACGGGCTATTCTAAACACAAGCCGGGGACCGCGGCAGCTGCCGGCATTCCCCGCGGGCCCAGCTAAGCCACTGGCCCCACTTCAAAGTCGGAATGGCTCGTGTCCCCAGCAAGCTCCGGAAAGGAGAGGTCGGCTTGTCGCGGCCAGTGCGCCTGGCTTCTGTTCAAAGGCGTTTTCCCAATACTCCCCCCACCCCCGCCACGAACACGGGTACACATGTATGTGCACAGAAATGCTCCCGGCATCAGGGACGGAAGGATAGCTGGGAAATCTCTCAGGAAATCCTGGCTCCACGGTGGCTCCCTCGCCTGGAAACCAGGAAAGCAGTTTTGTTCCCTGGAGGAGTCTGGAGAGGACCAGGGAGTGGAAAGGGGGTCCTGGTCCCCGGGCTCCACACACTGGCCAGACCCTCCCTCAGCCACAGCAGTGACGCCGACAACTGACTGAGCTCTAGTGTCCTGGCGCCTCCGGCCAAGGCTGCTCCAAGACGAGGTCCAGGGCCTGGGACAGGAGCCTGTCTCAGGTCTCGCCATGGCGTGGGGCCTCCCGGCCTGTCCCGTGCCACCAGGAGCAGAGCAACAGAGAGTCCCGCCAAGTCCCCTCCCAGGCACAGTGACGGGGCCAGGGGGAGGACCCGGCAGCAAGCAGTTCTTGGAAAGATGCCAAATGGGAGCAAGTCTCTTATGAACCAGAATCAGAAGAATAATTTTATAACATGACATATACACGAAACCGACAGACAACTGCACACTTAGCAACGAAACACCAGAGGAATTTCCAGGAAATCCAGGAACGAGACAAGGATGTCTATTGTATCGATGCTCGAGAAGTATGGGCAGTTCAATAAAACAAGAAAACAAAGGCACTGCAAGTATTGGGGCGGAGAAAACAAAATTTTCCTTATTTGCAGATGATGATACTATCCAGGCAACCTAAGAGAACTGGCTAAAACCCAAAAAAGAAGTGAGTTCTACCACTAGCCGTGAGCTGTGCAAGCCTCAGCTTCCTCATGGGTGAAATCAAGGTGTGACACCGCCACTTAAGAGACATAACAGCAAACATACGTTAACCACTCAGAACAGGTCTTGTCATACTTATGAACTCAGTAAACACTAGCTATGACCATGAAATATTTTTTAAATCAATAGTTTAGCATGTGATAGTAAACTGACATCATAACGTAACTAGTTAAAATACAATGATGAGGAAACAAAGCTGCAAAAACAAAAAACACTGCCTAGAAATAAACTGAACAAGAAATGTGCACGGCCGATATGAAGACAACATTAATTTTTTTTTTTTTTTTTTGAGACAGAGTCTCACTTTGTTGCCCAGGCTAGAGTGAGTGCCGTGGCGTCAGCCTGGCTCACAGCAACCTCAATCTCCTGGGCTCAGCGATCCTATCGCCTCAGCCTCCCCAGTAGCTGGGACTACAGGCATGCGCCACCATGCCCGGCTAATTTTTTCTATATTATTTTTAGTTGGCCAATTAATTTCTTTCTGTTTTTGGTAGAGACAGGGTCTCAGCTCTTGCTCAGGCTGGTTTTGAACTCCTGACTCGAGCAATCCGCCCGCCTCGGCCTCCCAGAGTGCTAGGATTACAGGCGTGAGCCACTGCGCCCGGCCTCTGAAGACAACTTTAAACGATAGGAACAGATGGAGAACGAGAAGACTGAGTGTCGTAAAGATGGACATTCTCCTCCAAGTCCATCGCGTGGTTTGCCGACTGACTCGGGCTGCACAAGACCCAGCTTCGCAGCCCCTGTGGGGTCTTCCCTACAGACCCACTCCCCGCACACCGGTCCCCGGACCAGGTGAACCTCCCACGGTGGGCCTACCCGGCTCCCACGTGGCCTTCCGTTGAGGCACGTGGCCATCACACTGGCTCCCCCGTCTTTCCTGCCACGGGCCAAGAGCCCCCAGGTCAGACGGAGCCTCAGCCCCTCGGTGCCCTGCAGCAGGCCCACAGCGGACACTGAGAAGGGCCGGCCGGATGCGCTCCCATACTGCCCCGCGGTGCCAGGGACGGGAAAGGGGACCTGCCCCCTCGGTGCCCCGAGGGGACCCACAGAGACACCTACCTTGGGCTTTGCGATCTCCTTGATCCTCTCGATCTCCTCGTCGGACATGACGTCGTAGTACCTGACGATGTGGGGGCTGTCCCACTCGTCCTCCTCCTTGAAGGGCGCAATGAGCAGCTGCGGGGCCCCGTTGCCGTGGTGATACCTGCAGAAGAGCCGCTTCTGCCTGCGGGGCGTCTGGGGAGCACAGGACGGCAGGCCTGAGCGAAGGGCGCCCCAACCCTCCGCCCCGTCCCCGGTCTCACCACACGGCCAGCAGCTGCTGCCCCCGACCCACCGCGGAAGGACACATAAGTGACACCCCACAAGTCACGCAATCTTTCTTCTCCCCCAAGATCACTTCCCGTCCGCAGTGGCAGAGGGTGACTCCGGACCCTTCCGTGGGGATCGCAGGCAGCTGAGGCTGGGATGGGGGAGAAGCCCTCCTGGGTAGAGGAGCCAGTGGGAGCCAAGCAGACGTGGTTGCGGGAGAGGCTGGGAGCGGCCTCGCTCCTGGAGCCAGCCACACCGTGTCTGCACCGCATAGACTCACTCTCCGCCTGACCCCACGACCTCCCCGGGGCCACCAGTGAGTCCAGGAAACGCCGGGCACGTCGGGGTGAGGAGAGGAGTCCAGTGACAAAAGATCGCAACTCCACCTGGGGCATCCCGTCTACATCTCAGACGACCTCCACGTCAGCCTCAGCTGATGCCACAAAACTGGGGAGTCGTGGAGAAGAGCACCCACAGACGGAGAAACACCCTCCTGCAAACCCGCAGCCCAGAGCCCAGGCGCCCGACCCTCCCGCGTCTCACCAGCTTGACGCCCTCCCCGCGGCACAGGCTCTCGTACACCTCCCGCTCGGGCAGGTAGTCCACCGGCCGCTCGTAGACGCCGTCCAGGGCCACGAGCTCAGCTTCCGTCTGATTCGATGACGTCTTTTCTCTTTCTTCCTCCAACAGCCGCTCAAAGTACCGCAGATTCCCGCCAGCCCGTTCGTGGCTCGGGTCTAGAAACAGCAAAGAACAGGAGGAAAAGGAAACCACAAACATCTGTCAGGCCGTTTAGGGAAATCGCTCTGTGAGCGGCTTCTGTCCCTCGGGTCACGGCAGGCCTCGCTCTGCCTCTCACGGCACCTGGCCAGGCGTGCGGGTCCAGGCACAGGTCTGGGTGCGTCTGCCGCACCTGGGACAAAGCAACGGCTGGGGCTCGCGCACAAGCCAGTCGGCAGCGGGACCAGACCTGAAGTCAGCAAGGCCTCAGTCTCTGGCCAAGCGACAGGGATTCGGCCCCAGGAGGGGAGTCATGCAGTGGCCAAAGGGTCCAGTTCCTCCGCTCTCTCCCCCTCACCTTCCCCAGAGTCTCCTTACCCAGGGAGAGCAGGCGGCGGGTGAGCTCCAGGGCGCGGTGCAGGTCGCCCAGCTGGAAGACGGCGTAGCTGAGGTAGTCCAGCACCTGCGCCTTGGCCGTGGTGGCCTCTTCCCCAGCGTCCAGCTGCTTCAGCACCTGCTCCATCCACAGCACCGTGTGGTAGTAGTCCCCCTCGTTGTAGGCCGAGCGGCCCATCCCAAAGCAGTCGTCCACGCTCAGCACCGCCTGGTACTTGGTCCCTGCGGCAGGAGAGGCCAAGAGCCTCCGGGTTAAGGTGGGGGGACTCTCGCTCCAGGGAGAAGCCTGGGCTGCTGGAACGGGGGCATCATCCACGCAGAGACCCCCGGGCTTCAGACCACACACCCCAGAGGGCCCCGGCACAGAGGGCTGGCCCTGCCCCGACGGGCTCACACCGATCGCCCGGCCTCAGGCTCTTCTCCTCCTCCTCAGCGAGAAGGGGCCTGGTGGCAGGGGAGCCCAGGGGGCCCACCACGTAGCGACAGTCCCGTGAGCCACAGAGGACTGTCCGGTGGGCAGCCAGCCACATGAGTCTGGAGGACAGAAAATTAGCTGAATGTAAAAAAACAGATTTAGGCGACAGCTAAGCCCCAGATGAAGATGATCACTTGCAGGAAGTTTGAGGAAAGAGTGGAGAAGGCGGCTGGGCCGGAGCCACAGCAAGCACCCACCTAGCGAGCACAGAGAGCAGCAAACACTGAGCAGGAAGGAGAGACAGAGGAGATGGGAGCCGCTCAGCCGGTCCTGGGACCCGGGTCCTCTGCCACAGGCCGGGTGCTAGGAAGGGACACAGGATAGTTTCGAGCCAATAACAAGTGGAAAAAAATGACTAGAGAGGAGAACAGAACAGCCGAGGTCAGAATCAAAGAATCCAGAAGGGAGAACACCAGGAAGGGGGCCGTCGAGTGGCAGAGGCCGGAAACCTGCGCACTGGCGTCAACAGCCACGCGGCCTCGCAAGAGCAGAAGCAGCGAGCGGCGGGGAAACACCCGACAGCGGGGGACAGCGGGGGACGTAGATGACTCTATCTGCATCCCACAGAGAGGGGAGAGGAGGAGGATCAGCCTCGGAGACTCAGAAGAGCCTCGAAGCCCGAGGGAAGCGCATCCGTCCTGCACGGAGCCCACATGTGAGCTGAGGGGGGAGGAGCCCCGAGAGAAGAGGCGCGAACAGGAGCAGAGTCTGCAACCGAGGGGACCCAGGACAGGGGCAGGGAGTCCGGAGCCGGGCACGGTGGCTCACACCTATAATCCCAGCACTCTGGGAGCCCAAGGCGGTCGGATTGCTCGAGGTCGGGAGTTCGAAACCAGCCTGAGCAAGAGCAAGACCCTATGTCTACTAAAAATAGAAAGAAATTAGCTGCACAACTAAAAATATACAGAAAAAAATTAGCCGGGCATGGTGGTGCATGCCTGTAGTCCCAGCTACTCGGGAGGCTGAGGCAGGAGGATCAGCTAAGCCCAAGAGTTTGAGGTTGCTGTGAGCTACGCTGACACCACGGCACTCTAGCCTGGGCAACAGAGTGAGAGTCTGTCTCAAAAAAAAAAAAAAAAGGGTGGGGATAGAAGCAGGTCGGGGTGCAGATCTGTGTGGCTCTTGAGGGCAGTGGAGCAGGGGTTCCTGAGCAGCAGCCTCAGTTTCCCCTGACTTGCAGGAGGAGAGGGCTCGGCTGACACTGCTGACAGGTGGCGGCTGTCATGGGAATGGGAGGCCAACACCAACTGGGGACCCGTGACAGGGTCACCACCAGGGGTGACAGCACACCTGAGTGTAGAGACCACAAGCTGGTGATGGCTCCACCTCTCCGGCCACTGAAGACACACACGCTGCATAGGCCAGGCCTGGGGTGGCGACTTACCTGGAAGCTCCCCTCTGGAGATCGTGCCCGGGTCCAGCCTGTACGTGTCCTGAAGTCTCATCAGGGCCTTGGCGGCTCCCATCTCGTCCTCGTCAGTGGGAAAGAACTGCCGCTGCACGGAGAAGTTGGCGATGAAACCTTCCAAACGAGAGTGGGAACACCAGGTCACCCCGCTCCAGGGCAGAATCCCACTAGGGGGTCTCCAGCCGGTGGCTTCTCCCTGACCCTTCCCTCAAAGGCCGTTTTCCCTTTCACCAGGAAGTCCTCCCTGATGGCTCCAGCCATGGGGATGTCCTTCTTACTCCTCACTGTGCACCTACTGCCTGTGCTGCTCATTTGCAGGGAACAGAAACGGTCCCTATGTGGGCTAACATTTGGGAGTCTAGAAGTCTGCTCCAAAGCACTCAGGCAGACCTGGCGGAGACAGAAGGGACAGAGACATAACCGAGAGGACTCAGGGAGGACTTGTCAGCTGCCCAGTGGAAAAGTCCCATGGAAAACTGTCTTCCAGGATTTCTGGGCTTGCTGGATAAGCCCAGACTTCCAGCCACGTCTCAGGCTGGGGAGTCTGAGGGATGAAGGCCATGAATTCCTGGAGCCCAGCTGGCCACTCGCTACTGACCACTGTCCCTTATCATCCAGAAGGTGATGATGACAGTCCTGGAGGTTCATGGAATTGTCTTTACCCCTCAGATCATCAGCTGAGGGGCCATCTGGCCAGGCCAGGCACCAAGGTGGGACTGTACCAGCCCAGCATGGTCCCCTGAGAAACCACAGTGGGTTTGCTCTGCTCTGTAGGATACTCCCAGCACTCAGACCTGTAAGGAGCTCAGGGCATGAGCTTCTCAATGATGGAACTGAGAGCACAACCTGGAGCCTGGGAAAGCCCCTGACCACAGGAGTGCTCCAAGCCCTGGCTGTTCAGCAAGATGTGCCCCTCCTATAGTTCCAGGACTCCAGTTGGGCACCAGGCCCTCCCCTGCTGGCTCAAGGGTCTGATTCTGCCTGTCAGCTGAGAACGAGGAGAGGACCTCCAAGGCCATGCCTTCCCCAGCCTCTTCCCAAGAGCAGCAGCACCTACGACCACCTGCTCTCAGGACTGCAGGCTCAAATATCCACTGTTAGCCATGCGGAGCCCCAGGGACCAAGAAGCTGCACCCTGCCTTCCTCATGGCTGCATGATCAGGGACTCCACAGAGTTTAAGATCTGGGAAAAAGAAAACATGTCTCCAGCTGTCAGCACACCCCATTCATTTCAGGGGCAATAACCCAAAATCAGAGATAAACACAACCTACTGCTCTCTGGGCCGCTCTTTTTCCAGGTAATTACAAGGTTTTCCAAAGGAACCACACGTTGATTGTGGGAGGACGGGGTGAGGGAGGAGAATTCCGGAGAGCGAGGTCATGTGGGCAGGCTCAGACTCCCGCGGCGCAGGCGGAACAGCCTGTTCTGAGCTCCAGGCGCAGGCTGGGGAGCCGGGCTCTGGGAAAGGCTGCTGGTTTCTGGAGGCCGTGAGCTCACTGGGCACAGCTCCAGCCCGGCTGAGCTCACCAGTCCCTCCCCGGAGGCCACCCTGCCCCCAGGCCTAATCCAGTCTGGCCACATGGGCTAACACGTCTCAGCCAGATAGACAGCTAGTCTGAAGTGAATCAGCACTTGCAGCTCAGGGAAAAGAGGCAGTGAGGAGTCAGGCACGGTGGTGACGTGTGCCCGTGGTCCCGGCCATGCAGGAGGCTGAGGCAGGAGGATCACTTGCACACAGGAGTTCCAGGCTATGGTGCACTGTGCTTGTGCCTGTGACCAGCCTCTGCACTCCAGCCTGGGCAACACAGCCAGACCCTGTCTCTTTAAAAAAAAAAAAAAAGGGACTGAGCGTGGGGCTGGCAGGCAGGAGGGTGGCACCTCCAGGCCCACCCACCGTCTCTTCCTGCTGACAGGAGAGTGGTAGAGCACAGGGAAGCACTAACACAGTAAAACCACCACGCACAGTTAAAAGCTTTAAAAAGTTCATATCCTGATCTCTAAATATCACCTTTAAGAATTTATCATAAAAAAAAAAACTAATCAAGAGGTACACTCAAAGAAATATGTAAAAGATTGCTGACAGGCCAGGCGAGGTGGCTCACACCTGTAATCCTAGCACTCTAGGAGGCTGAGGCGGGTGGATTGTTTGAACTCGGGAGCTCAAGACCAGCCTGAGCAAGAGTGAGACCCCATCTCTGCTAAAAAAAAAAATAGAAAGAAATTAGCCAAACAACTAAAAATATATAGAAACAAACAGCCGGGCGTGGTGGCGCATGCGTGTAGTTCCAGCTACTCAGGAGGCTGAGGCAAGAGGATCGCCTGAGCCCAGGAGTTTAAGGTTGCTGTGAGCTAGGCTGATGCCACAGCACTCTAGCCCAGGCAACAGAGCAAGACTCTGTCTCAAAAAAAAAAAAAAAAAAAAAAGAAATTAGCCAAACAACTAAAAATATATAGAAACAAACAGCCGGGCGTGGTGGCGCATGCGTGTAGTTCCAGCTACTCAGGAGGCTGAGGCAAGAGGATCGCCTGAGCCCAGGAGTTTAAGGTTGCTGTGAGCTAGGCTGATGCCACAGCACTCTAGCCCAGGCAACAGAGCAAGACTCTGTCTCAAAAAAAAAAAAAAAAAAAAAGAATCTAAAAGGATTGCTGACAATTTAGAAATGATCCCACATCAAGGACTTGAACAGTTTGACAAAACATCAGTATGACATTCTACTGTCCAGACATTAAAATCACGTTGCAGAAGAACATTGAATGGCATGCAGAGAAGCTGGGAAATTCAGGAAAGGAATTTACGCTCATGTCACAAATCCTCCGACAGATAGGTCAGGCTTGCACAGGATGTGAACAGGAATGAGTTTAATGAGGCCAAGGCAGCCCAGTCTGTCTGTTCCCACCACCCAGCCCATTTGATTCATTTTTTTATTAATTCATTTTCTCCCTTGAAACAAATGAGTTTGCATCCTCAGACATCTATGTATGGTTCCATTTTTAAAAAAATATGTACGCACATGTAGAAAAACTGTATTTAACAGTGCTTATGACCAGCAATTGGATTAAGAACTGTAATTTTCTTATGTGATTGTTTCTGTGTTTTTCGACTTTTCTATAAAAACATGTTACTACAGTATAATTAGATGGTGGAGAGCAGTGGCTCACCCCTGTAATCCTAGCATTTTGGGAGGCCAAGGCAGGAGGACTGCTTGAGGCCAGGAGTTCAAGACCAGCCTGAGCAAGACCTTGTCTCTACAAAAAATAGAAAAATTAGCTGGGCATGGTTGCGTGTGCCCATAGTCCCAGCTATTCGGGAGTCTGAGGCAAGAGGATCACTTGAGCCCAGGAGTGAGCTATGACGGTTGTAGTGAGCTATGACGATGCCACAGCACTCTAGCCCAGGTAAGAAAGTGAGACCCTGTCTCAAAAGAACAAAAAACAAGGACAGCCAATTGCCAGGTGCCCACAGAGAAGGGAGAGCCCCATGAGCCCAGCAGGGTCCACGTTCACACAATGCACTTGCCCATAATACCCAGACCCAGAACAGGCTCAGACACACCCACCAGGCACGGGCACACGAACAGGAGCTCCCCAGGGCACCTGCTCACCACCACTCACCTGCAGCCGAGTCCTGTAGGACAAGGTCCTCCAGCGCAGGCCAGTCTGTGTTCAGCCGCTTCACCAGTTTGTAGGCGTTCACGGGGTGGGCCAGGTAGCCCTCGGGGTCGGCAGCCGACTTGCTAGTCAGGGCTTCCATTTTGTTGGCCCAGCTGCGGAACCAGAGGAAAAGGGAAACTGATGTGTCCACCCACACAGGACCTGACCAGCAGTGATTTCTCTGGTGAGATCCAGGACCCTCTCCATCAAGCGGTAATAAAAGGGCTGGGCGTAGTGGCTCACACCTGTAATCCTAGCGCTTTGGGAGGCTGAGGCAGGTGGATCGTTTGAGCTCAGGAGTTCAAGACCAGCCTGAATAAGAGCGAGAACAGTCTCTACTAAAAATAGAAGGAAATTAGCTGGACAACTGAAAATATATAGGAAAAAAAACAGCCAGGCATAGTGGTGTATGCTTGTAGTCCCAGCTACTCGGGAGGCTGAGGCAGGAGGATCGCTTGAGCCCAGGAGTTTGAGGTTGCCGTGAGCTAGGCTGATGCCACAGCACTGTAGCCCGGGCAACAGAGTGAGACTCTGTCTGGAAAAAAAACAACAAAAAACCCAAAAAATCCTAAAGAGGTAATAAAAAATGAATACAGTAATCCCAGATACTTCTAGCTCCTTAATCTATGTAAGAGCCAAGGAACCCCAATGTAAGCAAAAAGGTCTTAAATAGGAAAAGCATAACAGTGACTCCTTAGCACATGCACTTTGCTACTCTGCAGGACTGGCACGAGGTCACCTCCAGGCCAGCGCCATGTCACCCTCGTGGGGGCTTCCTCCTACAGGCATCCTGACTCAGGGTGTGTGCAGGGACTAGGACACCAGATACCTCTTAATCTTGGCGAGCTTGGCCTCCTCTGCGAGGATGTACTCCTTCAGAGACTGCACCAGGTCCTTCTCTGCATAAATCAGGTCCGTCATGTGCCCTGCAAGGGAGGGAAGAAAGGACCAGTGAGAAATGGACAGGGGACGTCAGCCCCCTGGGGGCACAGAAGCAAGTCCCCAAGGTGAAGGGTACATCGGCTCCCTGGGGATCGTGGGGACCTAGAGTTAAAGGTGCTCTGGGCACTCACATGGTCCTGGCCCCCAACTTCAGGGAGACAGAGGCAAATGCACCAATGGGATGTTTGGGGTAAGTGCACTGGGGGACAATCAAGAAGAATCCTCAAATCTCACCCCCTTGCTGTCACCTAGATGGCCAAGGCATGGAGGCTCGTCACTTGGAATAAAGCTCTAAATCTTCAGATCAGAAGGAGGGAAGAGCTAGATCCTCAGGACACAGGGTTTGCTGCTCAGAACCACTCTGTGGTCTGGGGTAAGGAGGCCACACAGGCCAGAGAGCCCAAGTCACAGCCTGCACTGTCCAGGGGGAAGGACCCAGTTCAGACAGCTGGCTCCCAAATCATCCACATCATCAGGATCTCAGCAGGGAAAACAGCAGCTCGGCAAGCTCCTCTCTCCCCAGAACTGCCCAAAACCAGCGGATGAGCCATGCCACTCTGGATGAGAACAGGACTGAGGCAGGGACACCCCTAGCATTTGAGCGAAGGTGTGGTCAGGCAGATGACAGTTCCGTGAGCACGTACCGATGGAGGTGAAGAACTCAGCCTGCACGCAGCTCAGGACGCCAAGGCAGGCCACCAGCAACGTGGAGCCCTGGGGTTTCATGGTCACGGGGAACAGCGACTGCAAGACATTCGATGACATCCACTGGATTAACACAGTGGGAAAGAGCAATCTAGTGAGGAGACACACATACACATACACGCGTGCTCAAACATGCCAATACCCTGGCCTAGCGCACGGAAGCCAAGGAGGACATTCAGGATCACCGGCAAAAAGAACACAGTGTATGGAACCGCTGAGGCACACTCAATCCTGGCTCCTGCTCTGGGGGCCCATGTCCCAGGTGGAGGTTTGTCCTCCCAATTCCTGGCAACCACCTGCAGCATGAAGAGGGCACAGTCAGCTCTGGATCTTTTTTTTTTTTTTGAGACAGAGTCTCACTCTGTTGCCCGGGCTAGAGTGCTGTGGCGTCAGCCTAGCTCACAGCAACCTCAAACTCCTGGGCTTAGGCGATCCTCCTGCCTCGGCCTCCCGAGTAGCTGGGACTACAGGCATGGGCCACCATGCCCGGCTAATTTTTTCTATATATTTTTAGTTGGCCAATTAATTTCTTTCTATTTTTAGTAGAGACGGGGGTCTCGCTCTTGCTCAGGCTGGTCTCGAACTCCTGACCTCAAGCGATCCGCCCGCGCCTCCCAGAGTGCTAGGATTGCAGGCGTGAGCCACCACGCCCGGCCAGCTCTGGTTCTAATCACCTGTCAGTCCCAAATCCCGGCCTGCTCCTTCTCAGTTCACACATTGCCGTTTGTTCCTATCTCCCCTCCAACCTGTGCCAGCACAGCGCCAGGTTCTGGTGACCCAGCCCCCGCCCACAAGGAGGTGACAGTATGAGAGAAAGAATCTGATGCAATATGCCTCAGGGGACCCAGCCCCAAACCAAGGTATAAAAAGACAGCCAGAAGAGGAATAAAACCGAACCCTGCTGGTCTGTATCTGCTGGAGAAAGAGAACGAGAGAGCCAGAGAGAGTGTGTGAGAGCGAGCAGCCGGGTGGTGCTCCGGGGCAGACGCTGCTCTTCCTGCAGTCAGGCTCCCTGGCAGACATGCCCTCCCTGGCCCGTCACGACTCATTCACAAATATTTACCGAAGACCCACGCCAGGCACAGAGCTGGGCACTCCGGATACAAAAATGGATCAGCCACACGTGGCCAAAACCTCGGCTGGGCTGCGGGCACGGGGAGAGGCCAGCTGCTGCAGACACAGTCAGAGCAGCCCCGAGTGGCTGGCACAGCTGGGCGCTGGTCGTGGGCCTGGCACACACAGAACCTCCAGACACCGTCCCCCGGTCAGCCACGCAGTCCAGACCATTGGAGGACGGCACCCCTCTGCACCCCGCTCTGCCGGTCCTTCCTCCCCCCCGCTCTACCTCAGCCAGATCCCAGTGGAGCGCCCAAGTGGAAATTTACTGAGAGAAAACAGAGAAAATAAGGGAAATACAAAAACACAAGCCTCTCCACTCCTTTCAAATCCCCTTGCTCGTGCCATCGGTGGTCACACCTTAGGGCACTCAGAAAACAGCGGCCAGGTTCCCCCGTTACATGAGCACCAGCTGCGTTTCTCTGGTATGTGCCGTCTGCAGGCAAAGCCTCAGAGAATCGCAGACGGGGTTCTGGGAAGTGACTTAGCAAGGGCCTGCAAAGTCCTGCTCTGGTGAGAGACGGGGTGACGAATCTGCCGGCCCAGAGAGTGGGGTCCCCCCTGGCAGACGGCCACATCGACACAGCCCCGTCCCACTCCCCCTGATGCTGGGCCCCCGAACCCAAAAGGCTTCATGCAGAGGGTCATCTAATGAGGGTCAGGTTGGGGAAGGCAGCATCCAAGAGGGACTGTGCCCCACAGTGTGGGAAAACCAACTTCTATCCCATCTCGTGTCTGTACCGAGCTTGCTCAGAGCACAGGAGGTGGGAGCCTGTATGCCTGCCCAGCACACCTGCCCAGTGCGGCCAAAGCCCTCCTAGGAATCCTCAGAAACCCACGCAGAACAGGCCTGGAGACATCAAACTCCCTTTTATGGAGAACACACAAGCACCGAGCCAGAGCAGAGGACCAACGCTCACTGTTTCGTGAGCTGCACCCCAGAGTTTAGGACCATGTTTGTCCCGTGCCAGGCACACAACAAACAATGCTTCATCGCAGACTTGCTCAAATTAGAAAACCACAGCAACAGAAGACTTCATATTTTTCACATATTACATTGTTACAGAGCATGTAAGAATGATGCTGAGTGTGTACCAACAGGGAGAGATCAAAGAGATACAGTGAAGTGAGAAAAGCAGGCCCCAAGCAGCATGTAGTGTATAATTCCATTTTGTAAAGAAAAATTAATGTGTCTGTGTGTGTATCTACACAAGAAGACAGTTGAACATCTAGCTGTATCTTGGTGAAGTAATTTTATTTTTCTTTTAATGCTTGTTTGTTTTTCTAATCTTTCTACAAGGAATTTTACAATAATTAAAAAAATATTTTATGATACGCTTAAAACACAGAGAAAACAAAGCAGGCGTGTCTCAAATAGGCTCCAGAGGGGCCCTGGCGGTCCTGCAGAGCCTGCCGACGCCCCAGCGACGGACCGTGATTTAGGCACTTGGAGCCGCCGTTTCTAAGCACGGGGAAATTCCAAGACACACAGCCAGAGGTCCCCACGAAGCCTGCTCTTTGGAAAGGACGTTTACAACCTGGCCAAGTGGCCGGGAAAAGACATTTCCAGCTGCAAACCAACAGCATTCGTAGCTTCTCCCCTTACCTCATCAGGCAGGACCCCGCGCCAAGCTCCCAGCTGCAGCCCAAATGGAGCAGCTTGAGTTTTAACAATGCGTTTAACAGCCCAGAGACAGAACATGGGCTTGCTGGGAACAAACAGGTCTGGCTCGGCGCCGAACACGAGGCCTTCCGTAAGGGGTGAAACCTGCCCGAACCAGGCCCCCCCAAGCCCCAAGGCCTCCCCGCGCAGCAGCCACCTCCAGGAGGACAGCGCTGAGGGGACCTGCGTGCCCAGCCCAGGAAGAGCCGCACAGAGGCTCCAGGAGGCCCTGCCGCCAAAGCACCTGCGTGTCCACTCAGGCCACAAGCTGCTGTCACAGACCCACCTCACGGCAGGGTGGGAGGCACCCTGCTCTCCCTACCTGGTAGCCTCAGGGTCACACTGGTCTGAGCCACTCCTGATGCCACCTGCAACCACCCTGGTCCCCCTGACTCACTCCCACTGCTCTCTGCAAGGGAGCCAGGGGCTTCCTGAAGGCCTCTTTGGCTCTCCCCTGCCATCAGGATCAAAGTCCAGCGCCGCAGCCAGGGGTCCTGACTCTGTGCACCTGGCCCTGCTGCCGCCTCCCGCCGAGTCTCACAGCTGCAGGTTTCATTGTTTCAACCACTACTCCACGGAAAAATATTCTCCCTCACTGAGAACCTGCTGAAGCCTGGATGTTCATCTGTATCTATCCTTCACTGGCTCTGTCTGGTACCTGAGCATGCTGACGTCCACATCCCCACCTGAGCACCATCCACCCCACAGAGTCTCCCCTGTCGAGCGGACAGTGAAGTAGCAGAGGAGGCTGTTGAAGTCGACAAGCAAAAGCCAGGGTTGGGGCCTGGCGCGTTGGTCACGCCTGATATCCTAGCTCTCTTGGAGGCCGAGGCGGGCGCGGATTGCTCGAAGATCAGGATCAAAACCACCTGAGCGAGACTCCGTCTCTACATAAAAATAGAAAGCAAAGTAATTGCACTTGAACTATATATATATATAAAAATCGTACCGGGCAATGGGTGGCTTGTGCCCCTGTAGTCCCAAGCTAACTCCGGGAGGCTGAGGCAGGATGATCACTTGAGCCCAGGATTTGAGTTGCTGTGACTAGGCTGACGCCACGGCACTCACTCTAGCCTAGGCAAGGAAAGCGAGACTCTGTCCAAAAAAAAAAAAAAAGCCTGAGCAAAGCGAGACGGTCCCCCATCTCTACCTATAAATAGAAAGAATAATGGGCCAACTAATATCATAAGAAAAAATTAGCCGGGCATGGTGGCGCATGCCTGTAGTCCCAGCTACTCGGGAGGCTGAGGCAGGAGGATCGCATGAGCCCAGGAGTTTGAGGTTGCTGTGAGCTAGGCTGACGCCATGGCACTCACTCTAGCCTAGGCAACAAAGTGAGACTCTGTCTCAAACAAAAAAAAAAAGCCAGATTGGGTTTTCAGCCGCAGTTGTGGCAGAGACTTGGCAGTCTGGGGTGAGACTAACTCCTAAGGAGGAACTGCACACAGGAACAAAATCCGCACACCGCTACGCTGGATGCATCCAACATACCGCCCGTACTCCCTGGTCTCACCCAGCTCCCAGGCCCCAGGCCACCTGCTGTGCCCCAGCCCCGTGGAGACTGCGCAGGCCCCCACGGGAATCTCTGCCTGTCCCACAATTTCAGACTCCAGTGAATACCCCATGCCCTCCCCAGCGGCTACCCGAGGGCCATGGTCGTGCATCCAAGGAGAGAGAGGGAGCTAACCCCTTGTGAGGCAACGCTGACCAATGAAGGACCAAAGACGAGAGAGCAGCAGGTAAATTCTCTCTCCAGCTTCCCACAAGAAACTGTTTGGAGGCCTGGAGTTTCCACAGAGCCTGTGCAGAGACACCCAGAATTGCCGAACAACGCTCTGCAGAGCGGCCAGCCTGCTGCACCACCGCCATGCAATTGCTTCCCATCCTCCTCTTCCTCACTCTTCTTTTCCTTCGCCCCAGCTGCCCTGCAATTGTACCTTTCAATAATGCATTATGTACTTAAGCTCTGCCTCGGGCTCTGTATCCTGGGAAACTAGTCTAAGATAACCACTATTTACGTTCCAGAAATCTTTCACTTCTACCATCTCATTCTCACCGAAACCTTGTAAACTAGACTACCCCCTCCACTTCGGATGGAAGATAGATGTAAAAGACAGATAACCGAGGCTGAGAGAGGTTTTGCTACACACCTGACATCAGTGACAGAACTGAGACTCAAACCCAAAACACACTCTCTGCTAGATGTTGCTGCCACCGGATCCTACCAGTAACAGCTGTTACCTTGCAGCACGAGGGCCTCCCAACCAGGGAGCCACGCCTTGCCCTGGCAGAACACGCCTGCCCAGGTTAGGGACTTCATCATGGGTTACCCTAAAGGTTCACAGAGCAGGCTGATGTCCCTGGCTGGGCGACCCCAGAAGGAGACAAACAACATGGACCCAGAAAACATGGCACGTGGCACCCAGAGTCCAGGCATCACAGCACTCGCAAATAACCACCCAGCCACGCTCAGGGCAGGGCAGGGCAGTGCAGTTCAGTGGGTAGGCAATCCTGCCCTGGGGCCAGACAGACCCAGAGCTAAGTCCCAGCTCTGCCACTACTTCCTGGCTTTGTGACCTTGGACAAGTTACAGACTTCTCTGAGTCTCAGTTTCTCCATCAATATAGTGGAGATAAAACTAGGACCTGTAGCTCATGGGGCTGCTGTGAGGACTGAGTGAGAAGACAGATGTCAGTGGGCAGCCCGGCACCAGGCACAATTTAAACCAATCACCGGCACCCAGGACACCAGGAAGACATCAGCGGACCCGACACAGCCGGCTGCCCAGCCCTTGTCCGTTGAGTCCTGGGTGAGGAAGCAGGTCCAGTCTCGAGGACAGTGAAGATGCAAACAAGGCAGAAATCGAGCAATCTCCATGCCCCAGGAGAACCGGCAGGGATGAAACATTCAATCCAGGAGAGGCTGGATTCAGGCGTGAGGCAGCACCTTGACCATCAGGCAGTGCCCTGCACCTGGCCAGTCGCTGGCTCTCAAGCTCACCGAGGAAAGTTCCCTTGCAAAAGGCAGGTGCTGGACCGACACTCTGGGATCCCACGTACTTCTGTGACTCTGACCTGCTCATTCCAGGCTCCTACAGGTACCAGGCCTCAGGATCTCCACCCTGCCCAGCCCTCAGGACCGCCAGGTACAGAACAGGCTACTCTCCAGCAAGCACTTCTCGCAAGGCCCAGAGCAAATGCCGGCCTGTGACGAGGCCCAGACATTCCATGTGAGCTGGAGAACGCGCTCCACAAACACTTAATCCTCCGCCCTGCAGTGACACCAATTGAACAAAAACCCTCTTCTAGGGCTCCAAGAAGTCCAGTCCAGACTTTCATTCCCCTCTGCTCTTTCTGAGAATAAAAACTGTCTTTCTACCCCTCACTCCATGTCCCTAACATAAAAACCACAGACCGCAGGACCCACCAGCCCTCTCTGCTCTAGGATAGGCTGATGCCCATGCCAGGGCACTTCAAAAGTCAACTGCTACATAAGAGCGATTTTTTTCAGGGTGTAACTCTCACTCCCCGCACTCTGCTGGGCTTCACGTGCCTGCAGCACGGCTTTTCCTGCCAAATTCCATCTGCAGAAAATTAAACTCTTGACAGATCCCAAGAGCCAGGGACACACCCACTAGCCCTCCACACACTATCGGCCAGCGTGGCCACAAACCTGCCAAGGCCTCGCACCCAACCTCAGACCCTCTGAGGCTGTGGGAGGGCAGACTCTAAAAAGGAGGCTTTCTCGGGAAATGACAAGACCCTAGATTCCCTCTCCCCACTCATTCCCCAGCGCCGCACCCACGCAGTCTCTCCCTTTGATGAGCACTCACAGCCGAGCTCCTCCCGGCACCTGGCCCGCTGCCAGTGTGGAGCAGCAATCTCAGGGAGATTATAAACTACCCACGGGCAAGAATAGTGCCTCAGCCACCTCCTCCCTTACTCCAGCCCCAGGCACACCCTCCGTAGAGCCAAGCACGCAGGGGGTACTCAAGGAATGAACGGAGATCAGCTGTGGCCAGTCTAGGCCAGTGGCAAAGCACGCACTCTCTGGGGTACCCCACTGCAGAGTCTGCGACAGAAGGGTCTATCACAAGCTACAGACAATGCCCCAGCTCAGCTGTCACCGTCCCTGCCTGCTGAGCTCCCAGAGAATGGGGTGGTCCAGCATGACCGCATCTTTGGAGCGAGGCCCCCGGCCAACTCACGCCATCCCTGCTACGTGGCTTCATGGGCTGGGCCACCCCGTGGACCCTCTTGGCTGTGTGAGAACGAGAATGCCCCAGAAGAAAAGAATCCAAAGCCCACACGTCCTGTGAGTGGGGAGCAGCCCCGAGGCCCAGAACCACAGTGAGAGACACGCCCTGGACACTTCGGGGGCAGCGTGAGCACAAGCCAAAGGAAATCCTTGTGCACGTAACAGAGAACTAAACTACGAGCCTGCTGTCTCAGACGGATACAAGCCGAGGATAAGCAACAGCTCACAAAACGTCCTGTAAATTCTTAGGTGGACAATGGATCTCTGCAAAGTCTGGGACATTTGAGAATGCCCCAAGCTACAAGGGGACATCCCCCAACCCTTGCTCTTGGGGCCAGGATCTCCAGCAAGGAGAGTGGGGCTGGTGAAGCCCCAGAAGGTCGGCATCAAGGAGCACAAATCGTGGGTGTCCCTCCACAGCAGAAGACTCCCCTCAGTCTCGGGAGAGACCCCAGTGCTCTCCTGCATCATCTCAAAACTGTCAGATCAGAACACAGAGACCAGCGGCACACCTGTGCTGAGGCAGGAAGACCCCGGTTCCCTGGGCACCTTCAACACGCAGGCAGGGTCCTCTCCTACAAGCTGCCATGGACCAGGTTCACGGGCAGCTATCCGTTAAAGCGCCCCTTCCCCATCACCTCGCTTCCCCTGGGATGCCATAAAGCATGATGTCAGCCAAGGTCTGCTGTCACCAATCTGTTCCTGTGTCTACGTGACCCTTCTGAAAGCCTTCATCTGAGCACTGCGGCTCGCACGCCACCTCCTCCAGGAAGTCCTCTGCCAAGAAGCCACAGCAGTGACCCCGTCCGCGCAGCACTCACCACGCTGCTCTGGGCAGGGGCTTTGGGTCTTCTGGTCCGCGGCCCCCTGGGCTGGCAGCTCCTCCAAGTCTCTGGCACACGGAAGGGTCCGCTTGTTGCGTTAGTAAACTGATCGCCGCCGGTCTCTGCAGCCGCTGGGGGGAAACAAGGCGGGTTCGACAGGGTGGTTCCGATCCAACAGGCACGGAACCGGACCCCGCCCGGCTGGGACGTCAGCGCCCAGCCCTGGGGGCGGAGAACGGCGGCCGCCGAGGCCCCCGCCCCCGGGGTCAGGCCGCTTCCAGGGACGCCGGAGCAGGAAGGGCGCGAGTCCCGGCCCCGCCCGGCCCGGCGCGCGAGCGGCAGGAAGGGCGTCCCTCCGACCTGGAGGACGCGGCGCGCGCAGGGCCGGGGGGGAAGCCGGGGCGCGGTGCGCGCGCGCCCCGGATCGCGCGGCGGGCGGCCCCGCCCTGCCGGCCCGGCGGCGGCCCGCAGCTCCCGCGACCCGGCCCCGCGCGGCCGCGCCGCACCGCTCACCCTGACACGCGCCCGCGCGTTTCCAGAACCATCCCGCGGCGCGGCCCGGCCGCCGGCGCTCCCCCGGCTCGCCCGCGGCGCTCCGCGCTTGAGCGCCGCACGTCCGGCTCCTCGCGCCCGGCCGCCGGCGCCCGGCTCCGCAGCCGCGAGGGCCCAGGCGGGGGCGTCAGCCGCGGGCCCGCGCCGCCCCACCGCGCCGCGGGCCAGGGCCAGGCCGCAGCCGCCGCCCCGCGCGCTTATCCCTCCCTGCCGCGCCGCACGTAGCGCCACCTGCGGGGTCGGCCGCCCTGGGCTCCGCGCCGCTCCGCCCTTTAAACCAAAACACAAAGCGGGTACGCCGGCCCCTGCCCCGCCGGTCCCTCCGCCAAGGGGTCCACCCACCAGGTCCACAGAGGCCCCGGCCACCCCCGCATGGAGCCGCATCGGGAGGCCCACCCCCCGTGAGAAGGCCCCGAGGAGACTAGGACTGGACGAGCCCTCCCTGACACCCGACCGGAAGCCCGCCACCTCTCACCCCCTGGCGAGCCGCAGTTCCACCCCGGCGATTGGGGGTGTGGGGGGGAACGGCGATAGACAGGCCGAGCCATTCCAAACTTGGTCGGGGCCCGGTCCGTGTTTGCCCAGACCCTCATAACAGGCCAGGAAGAGCGGACACCCGTCCAGCCGGCCCAGAGGGACGGAGACAAGGACGCAGCAGGCCCAGCCGAGCGGGAGGAGGCTCTGGCGGCCGTCGGTTCCCACGCCTGCTCCGTGAACCTTCCTGCATGAATGAGGGAAGCAGGCCTGAGAATCTCATCAGGGAGCGAAGCCCAGAGGGAGTGCCTGCCCGGCCTGGAGGATTCCCGGTGGCACCAGGGCCAGGCCTGGGGAAGCTCGGCGCAGGCAGAGCACATAAAACTCGGACGAGGCGCTGCTCCTGCCTGCGTGGGCCGACAGCCAGAGCTCAGCCAAAACCACCACACAGAAACTTCCCTGCGTCTGCTGCGTCCTTTTATGCCACAGAAGCCTTCCTCTGTCCGCCCAGGTCCCCCCAGCCTCTCCCCGTTGATGGTCCCTTCTTGTCCTGAACGCCCTTCACCAACTACTGAATGTCTCTCTCTCAACCACAGCAGAATTCCTTGAAAGAGCTATCTACTAGTCTTCGCCTCTCTTGCACCCCTCAGACCCTGCAGTGGACCATCCACCCCCTAACAACACCAAACGGGTCACAATAAACCGTAACCTTCAGTCCTCATCTGCCAGGTCCCTGCGCAGCTTTTGGCACCCCGGCAGTGGCCACTGCCTGCCTGGAACGCTCACGTCCCTTGGTTTCTCTCCATCCTCGCTAGTCTCCTCAGCATCTTCCTCTCCCCACCTCAGCAAAGGTCGGGGGTCCTTTGAATCAGGCCTAGGCTGTCTCTTTTCCTCTTGTCTTTCTATAATGTTTTCCTATGTACAGATGACTCGCAAATTTCTCTTTCCTTTGTCCTCACTCCTGAGTTCCAGGTTCGTGTAAGTGACTACTCAGTCTACATCTCCACTTGAGTGTCCACAGGCACCTCAATGGCAACACGTCCCACACTGAATGCCTCTTTTCCCCCTTCCCACCACTCCGTACATCCCGTATTCCTGCTCACCAAGGGAGACACCTCCCATCAGTCACCCAACCAGAAGTCCTACTTGGCAGCTCCCTCTCCCTGGCCCCCAGACCCTGTCCGTCCATTCCCCAAGTCTGTGCAGTTCTACCACTTCCATCTCTCGCTAATCTGTCCATTCTCTCCGTCCTCTTCCACATGAGTGATTGCAACACTGTCCTGATGGCCGCCCTCCACTTGTAATCCATTCCCATCTCTCCTCCACACTATGACCACGGGGATCACCTCAAAATGCCGATCTGAGGCCAGGCGCGGTGTCTCACGCCTGTAATCCTAGCACTCTGAGAGGCCGAGGCATGCGGATTGTTGGAGGTCAAGAGTTCGAAACCAGCCTGAGCAAGAGCAAGACCCTGTCTCTACTATAAATAGAAAGAAATTAATTGACCAACTAATATATAGAAAAAATTAGCCAGGCATGGTGTCGCATGCCTGTAGTCCCAGCTACTTGGGAGGCTGAGGCAGGAGGATTGCTTGAGCCCAAGAGTTTGAGGTTGCTGTGAGCTAGGCTGATGCCACGGCACTCACTCTAGCCTGGACAACAAAGCAAGACTCTGTCTCAAAAAATAAAAATGCGGATCTGAGCCCGTTCCTTGCAGCTGAGGAAATTGCACAGCTCTTAGGAAAAATCCTCAAAGTAGTCTCTAAGGCCTGACATGGTTTGGCCTCTGCTCAACTCTCTGGCCACCCTGACCTTCCTCCAGTCCCTCTAATTGGTCTTTCCCCTCCCCACACACCCCCATATCAGACCTTCACACATGCTGTTCTTTCTGTCTAGAAAATGTTCCCCCTTCCCAATTGAATCTTTCAAAATCCTTCAGCTTCAGCTCCCTTTAGAAGCAGAGGGATTTTTCTTACTTCCCTGACCAGGTCAAAACCTCCCATAACAGCCTCTCATGTCCCTGTGTGCTTCATGGCACTTGCCAAGTTGATAGGATTGAGATTCCTTAGTTAACATCTTCCCCCACTGGCCCAGGAGCTCCGGGAGTATGAAAACTCTGAGTGTCCTTGTCCATCGCCATGTTCAGCACCTGCCAGAACTGGGCTCAACAAATATTTGCACACTGCATGAAGGGATGAATCTCTCTCCTCCATACCTTGCTTCACACAGTAGTGTTAGCAGCCAAAGGGACGAGTATGGCCTCCATAGCATCCTGGAAGCTCAGGTTGCTGAGCTTGGTTGGTCAGGTGTCCACCTAGGAATCCAAGGCCTTGAGAGGGGGCAGGACTTGCTGAGGGTCGTGCCCCTGGTCTCCCTGCCCTGCAGGAGGTGGCCATTCATTCCTTGTGTGTTCCTGTCTCTGTATTGGCCCCACCCAGAAGATGTCTCTGACCTTGACCTTTGACCTCACTTCTCCCACCCGGCCCTCTAAGTACGGCCCTGGACTCCATCCTGGCTCCTTGTATACTCATTTCCCAGGGCTGCTGTGACAAATGGCTACAAACTGGGTGGCTTAAAGCAACAGAATTTTATCCTCTTACAGTTCTGGAGGCCAGAAGTCTGAAATCGAAATGTTGACAGGGCACTGAACCCCTGAAAGCTTCTGGGGGGGAGGATCCTTCCTTGTCTCTTCCAGCTTTGGTGACTTCGAGGCCTCCTTGGCTTTGGCTGCATACAACTGATCTCTGCCTCCATCCTCACACACCTTCTCCCCAGTATCTGTATCTTTTCCTCCTGTGTTTTTTTTTTTTTTTTTTTTTGAAACAGAGTCTCACTTTTGTTGCCCAGGCTAGAGTGAGTGCCGTGGCGTCAGCCTAGCTCACAGCAACCTCAAACTCCTGGGCTCAAGCGATCCTCCTGCCTCAGCCTCCCGAGTAGCTGGGACTACAGGCATGCACCACCATGCCCGGCTAATTTTTTGTATATATACTTTTAGTTGGTCAATTAATTTCTTTCTATTTTTTTAGTAGAGACGGGGTCTCGCTCAGGCTGGTTTCGAACTCCTGACCTTGAGCAATCTGCCCGCCTCGGCCTCCCAGAGTGCTAGGATTACAGGTGTGAGCCACCGTGCCCAGCCTTCCTCCTGTGTTTTTTATAAAGATTCGGGACATTGGATTTGGGGTCTGCCCAGGTAACTCAGGATGATTTCACCTCATCACCTGTAACTTGGTTATATCTGCAAAGTCCCTTTGTCCAAATAAGGTCACATTCACAGGGTCCAGGTATTAGGACATGGATGTATTTGGGGGGAGGTGCACCATTCAACCCATCACGTCTGATCCTGACGTTTCCTCCTGCTCGCCAAGGCCACCAGCCCCTGTAAATTCATCACTCTCTGTTCTGGGTCTACAGCCTGGGCCCACTCCAGACTACATAGTCAATAGCCATTTTATTTTGTGGCCACTTAATAAATGACTTCATTATCTTCTGTAGGGTCCCCCAGGCTCCCCCACTTCTTTCTCTGTCCTGAGAAATGCAAAGTGCCCTGACTGTTCTGTGTCCCAGCCACTGGATCTCTTTCCCTGCAGGCTTGAACCCCAAGCTGGAGCGTTGAGCATTCCCAGGCACTGATAAAAGTGTTTAGGATGTCATCTAAAACCCCGAAAGAAACTAGCCCAGCCCTGAGCCAAATTCCTTAAGCCCTCATATAAACTTCCTCGTGGGAACCTCTGTAGAACATCCCCTGCCTCACACCCCCAGGAGTAAGCCCGCTGACCAAAGCTTTGCACTGACCACCCAGGCATTTAATGTGTCTTTCTATGGAAGCTCGCCCAGCCCCGTATGAGACAGTTTGGGGCAGCACCTTGTGGGAACTCCTCTGCCCGTGATTTGGGGACAGCTCCAGCCACAGGTTCAGCTCGCACAGAACACTCCCCCACACCCCACCCCACACACCAAACTGCTTCTGCTCCAGCACTTCCTGCATCTCAGGAAATGAAATCTCCATCTCCCAGTCACTTCCCCTTTTCTTCGCAGCCCATCCCCCCACTAGGTCTCTTTGCATCCACTTCTTTCCATCTCTCACTGTGTCACAGGTCACATTCAG